CAAGGGGGCGGGGGAGGAGGGGCTGGTGGCTGCCAGTGCGCTGCGAGAGCGCGGCGCCATCCGCGTCGACCCCAAGCTCAGCCTCATGCCGTGAGTACAGCTGGGGGGAACTGGGGGGCCCAGCTCAGCCCTCGGGAGCTGCGACAGTGGATGAGTCCAGTCTGTTTCCCCCCAGCCAGGTTTTGGGTGGGCAGCCAGGGGCAGAGCAGCCTGTAGCCATGCCCTGGCCATGGAGGGATTTGCTGGGGCCAGTGCCTGGATTTAAAGACCCCCAGTTGAGCCCACCCAGCTTGGATGGACCTCATGGGGAAGGTTCTATGCAATGGGGTCTATGTAGCTTTGGCGGGGGCTCTGCTCTCCCCGTCTTGCTGCTGGTGCTTGGGGGATGGTCCCTCTCCCCAATGCCCCTCTCTCCAGCTGGTTCCACGGGAAGATCTCAGGGGTGGAGGCGGTGCAGGAGCTGCAACCAGCTGAGGACGGGCTGTTCCTGGTGCGTGAGTCCATCCGGCACCCTGGCGATTATGTGCTGTGTGTGAGCTTTGGCAAGGAGGTGATCCACTACCGCGTGGTGCACAAGGAGAACACTCTCAGCATTGACAGCCAGCAGTATTTCTCCAACCTCATTGACATGATCGAGGTGAGACCCCCATCCCTGGGCAGTGAGCCCCACCAGTGCCAGTCCGAGGCCAAGAACCTCATGGGATCACACAGAGCAGTGGCAGGTCCCTGTCCCCTTCTCCTGTGGTTTTCATTGTGTTTTGTTACCTGGTGTATTTCTCTGTCCCTGCCAAAGGCTCGTGGTTCCTACTCAGTTTGGGATGCAGTGGACAGGTCTGGGATGCCCCAGGGACATCCTCTGCCACGAACCAGCCATGCTGGCAGCAGCCCCAGTCCCCTGCCCAGGGCCACATTTCCCCCCATCCCGGCTCATCCAGTGCTTCACGCAGCAGCAGAGCTTAGGGCATTTGGGAAAATTAAGATCCCAGCAGCTTGTGCCACCCCTAGATCCTGGACAAGGTCTGAGACCCTCCAAGGCTTTGAGCCATTTTGCCACGTTTCTCTCCCCAAGTGCCCCTCTCCCCGGGCTGCTACGTTAGCTTTTGGCCTTCCAGTGAGCTCTTCCCCAGGGTCTGGCTTCACCCTGTCTCATAGCTGCTGCCCGTCTCCTCTCCGGGGGTTGAACTCTCATATGTTTTCCACATTTAGAGACAACTTCTGCTTTTGGGTGGGTTCTTTCCCCTTTCAGCTGTCCTGGCCCCACTCTGTAACCTCAACAGCCACCCGGCCACTTCCGCTCCATGTCACCTCTGCAAACCACCCTCAGCTGCTGCAGCGCCTGCCAGGGGTTTAACCCCATCAGCTGCCATCTGGCTCACCAGTAGCATCCCATATCTCCCATGGTCCATCATGGTGTTTCTCTGGCTGTGCCTGGAGGGGAGCAGGGATGAGACATGGGCTACGAATCACGGTGCTGGGGGAAATGCAGCATTTCACGCTGCCCGAGCTGAAGGGACCCCGGGCCCTTTGAGGGTGGCAGTGGTGGTGGGGTCTTGCAGAGCATCCCATGGCTGTTGCCCGGCTCCACACCCCAAGCTTGGGAGTAAGAGGTGTCATTGCCACATCACCTCTGTCTGTCCATGCCTTGACAGCACTACATGAAGGAGCAGGGAGCCATCTGTACCAAGCTGGTGAAGCCCAAACCGAAAACCGGGATGAAGTCAGCTGAGGAGGAGTTGGCCAAAGGTAGGGGATGGCAGGAGAGGGTCATGGTCCAGGTGTTGGGGACAAGGCATGGCCCCACTGGTGGCCCCTGCTAACCTGTCCTTGTGCCTATGCCCAGCCGGCTGGTTGCTGAACCTGCAGCAACTCACACTGGGAGACCGCATCGGGCAAGGCGAGTTCGGAGGTAGGTGAGAAGATGGGATTGGAGGTTCCCTGGCCATGGGCTTCCCCAAATGGCACCCTCAGACATCCCCTCCCCATCCCGTGGCATGGGGGGCTCATCCTGGGTCAGCCTGATGCGCTGTGTTCCCTCCCAGATGTCCTGCAAGGCGAGTATATGGGGCAGAAAGTGGCTGTGAAGAACATCAAGTGCGATGTCACTGCCCAGGCCTTCCTCGCTAAAGCGGCTGCCATGACGTGAGTGCCGCATGGGGGGTTACGACCCAACCCTGTCCCACTACCCAGGGACAAGCAGGCACCCCCTTGACCTGGATCCCCTCCATTTCAGGAAGGTCCGGCACAAAAACCTGGTGTCTTTGCTTGGCGTGATCCTGCACAACGGCCTCTATATTGTCATGGAGTTCATGAGCAAGGTGAGACCACCCAGCTGGGCCAGTGGGACCCATCACTGCTCAGATTTGGGGACAAAATCCCCGTTTGAGGAATGAGTTGGACAGATGTCGCTCATGGCGGCCTCCACAGAAGGCAAAATCTCTGGGCAGCCCCATCCTGTTGGTCCTTATGCATTTCTCCTCCTCTGTCAGGGCAACCTGGTGAACTTCTTGCGCACACGAGGCCGAGCGCTCGTCCCGACCCAGCAGCTCCTCCTGTTTGCTCTGTAAGTCCATCTCCTCCTCTCCGGGCTGGGGACCGGTGTTCTGTGTCCCCCAGGGCAGCCCCAGGAGACAGGCAGTGACACTATACCCTGCTTCACTCGGCCGCGGCAGGGCAGGGGGCCAGGGCATGGACTGACGTGGCCCAGGGCATGGACTACCTGGAGTCCAAGAAGCTGGTGCACCGGGACCTGGCTGCCCGCAACATCCTCATCTCTGAGGAGAACGTGGCCAAAGTGAGTGATTTTGGCTTGGCCCAGGTCAATCCCAAGGGTGCGGATGCCAGTTTGCTGCCTGTGAAGTGGACGGCCCCAGAAGCCCTGAAACACAATGTGAGTGATGGTGGGAAGGGAGCGGGGACCAGGGGCTCCTCCCAAAGCACCTCGTCCCCTTGGGTCCCCCCTGCTCATCCCCTCTCCCACTGACCCGTCCCTGCCCCATGGTGCCTTCTGGCACATCCAGCCCCACATCTCCTGTTGGAGCTCTGTCCTGACCAGCCCTCACCCTGGTGCGGAGCAGGGATCGGGGCGGCTCTGGTGGGATGCAGCAGGATGGACCCAGAACCATGCGGGTGATAGGAAGGGAGTGGGGGTCACACCGCAGGGTGGTGGGAGTGGCAGGCGAAAGGCGCTGTCTCCTGTCTCACCCTTGGGGGGGAGGGATGGGGACCCAGCGTGGCCCTGGCCGGCATCAGCCTCCCCTTCTCCTGCTGCCACAGAAATTCTCCTCCAAGTCGGACGTGTGGAGCTACGGGATCCTCCTGTGGGAAGCCTTCTCCTTCGGCCGAGCACCCTACCCCAAGCTGGTGAGTGCTGTGCCAGGTGACACCATGGGTAACATCCCACTGACAGCAATGGGATGGGG